TGTGGAATGTCGAATCTGGTTTTCAAATATATGTTAGTTGTAAATTTTAAAGGAACGAGCTGAATGGAATCGGAGACCGTTTTACGGTTAACAAATATTTATGTCTGAAAAAAAAGTAACTCGAATGGATGGAAATATTTAAATTTACAAATGAAAATCAAATTTTTCAAAGCATCAATTCTGTATCCGTCTGAGCTTAGGAAATTCCCAGACAATTGGAAATTTCCCAAATCTTTCAATAAGAAACATTCTTATTTCAAAATAAATTATTATTAGTAAATATTAAATAGCGTCATAAATTTACGAAGAAACATGAAATATACTCAAAAAGTTGTTATTTACAAAATAAATTTATATATATAGCACTGACAGTATTTAATATTTGACTAGATTTGTGGTTGCATATAATTATTATGTAAATTCTGGTTATTTCGTGAATTGATAAATGCATATTTCTCAGAATTCCTCACATTCAAACAAGTCTCTTCTCACAATACTTAAACGTTTTGTTGAATTGCACGATGTTTGAACTTTTGAGTGCGTTGCGGTTGTTCAGTGAGGGCGTTGTGGATTTGCAATTCCGGAGCTGGTGTGTATTAAACCTTGTTCTAATCCCAAAACCCCGGGGCGGATTCCGAAGTTGCGGCAACTCGTAGCGGGAGAATTAATATGAATTGAATATCACTGTACACAATGCACATCCAGCTGAATCCCTAATTGCTGTAAAACTTGAAGTTCGCGAACGTTGTCTTTTCCATTAGAAAATCATTTTCCTTTTTCTACGTCGCTTTGCTATACGTATTTTTCGCAATGTTTAATGTACATAGAAGCATCCCTTTCTGTTTTCGGAGGTGGGTGTTGGTCTGCGTGCACGAGGGTGGCTTTCAAAAGGGGAGGAAGCGGCGCACTCTGCGATCATACATCAACCGCGCCCCATTAGGGATTAATGACGCCAACGGCGCCGAAATTAACTCCCCGCAGGCTTACCACTGCAATAACGTTAACATATTAACCATTTGTTAGGATGGCGATATATAAAATCCCTGCACACCCCCGTACGTCCTTTCCTTTCGAAGCCCTTCCAACCCTAACACAACTATTCAGTATCTCTTTCATATAAAACTAATATTGAAAAGATTCTATACTATTTTCTCAAATGTTCATTCATTACCAATATTATTTATTATTACTATACAACCATTAATTAGCTATACATTAACATTTAATTAGCTATATTTTTGCACCATTTCCTGTACTGGAAACACATAACAAGAAAAAAAAACTATAATAATCATCATAAATAAATTATAGCTTTTGCTAAAGAAAATATATTTTAGTAGATTCATTTATGTATGTATTCCATTTAATATCCAATATCCAAGTATACAGTAAAAATAATGGTAATGACATTAAGATATCATAAAATAGGACTTAATATAATTAGCAACAACGTAATAAATACCGATATTTAGAAGCAATTTGATAAATGTATAAAATAAATATTAATTTATGTATATTAAAACATCGCAACGAGTACAAATAAAGTTGATGGACGAAACGATTCGAAACAGTGATCGTTAAAATTTTATTTTATTCCTGAACGAAACGGCACCGTTAATTTGCGTTAATTTCAATGTTACATTTTATATATTTTCCACGCGAAGAAAACAAATAACCACTGAAAGAAAGTAGTGAAAATGAACGGCGTAACTTTTAATGATAATTACATGGCACATTAAATGATGAGTGTATAGTATCATCGTATAACAAGTATTTTTGTGGTAGGTAAATTATTTCAATAAAAAATTATTATCACATTGATTTTTAACTCTCCGGAGCCTTTAATATTGAAGTTACTTCATACATTATGTAAGTAGATTCATTTTACCATGAGTGGTTTGTCGAAAAATTCCATGGATGTTACTAAGTAAAAAAAATACGAAAACACTTCCAGTTTTCAAAGTTAAAGAACAGTGTTTTTTAGTTACATATAACAAAAGTTCGCTAAGTTGGCTAGAAAAAAAAAACTAAATAAAAACAATTTGATTTTATTTTTTTTTTAAATTTTCATCCTTTTGTAATTCGCTTATTTCAATACATTTCTTAAGTCAGTCAAAACATTCCTCAAAATCGGCTTTTTAGAGCTTTTCAACTTTTAATTAATGATCTCTTCATTGGAACTGAAGATTCTTCACTTCAAATTTTGTTAATTTTCGTAAACTGCCAGAAATCACAATGCACTAGGTTGGTAGAATAAGATGGTGGGTGAATTTCATTGATGCCAGAAAGCGCAAGAAAGTTGTTGGTTATTTCAGTAGTGTGAGTGAGCGTCAAACTGGATGATGAAACAAGATTCATCACCTGTTACGATTTTACTAAAAGTGCTAGAATCTCCATTTTCAAAATTTTCCAAGAAATATTCGTCAAAACGAACACGTGCCTTCATTTGGTTGTCATTTAAAAATTGTGGAACCCATCGAGCGGATTTCTTCGTGCAGCCTAATTGATGATTTAATATTTGTGACAAAGCCATGGCATTCAAGCCTAGTTCATCAACTACCATTTCTTGTGTCGCTCTTGCCTCTTCGTCAATGTTTGCCTTCACCAGTTCTACATTTGTATCATCGGTCGAAGATTTAGGGCAACCTTCACGAGGTTCGTCTTCCATAGAAAAATGTTTGGTCTGAAATCTTTGAAACCACTTGGATATAGTCACAAGAGATGATGCATTCACTCCATGTGCATTTTAGCATTCCTAGAAAATGTGCATAGACTTGAGTTAACGTCGAAATCCGTAGCGAAAGACAAAACAAATTTTTACTGTGTTGGTGGTGGAATTTCTACTAACATTACATCACTAATCTTGCATTTTCTCCTATTCAATCTTACAGATCTTCTTGAAATATGACATGAAATATCGTTAGACTTTAATAAATTGAGAAACAACTTTTTTTCAGAAACAAATGAATTAATGCCAACTTAGCGAACTTTTGTTAAACGTATGTCAATACCAGGTATTTTTGGAACTTTTAAAGATTTATTTTTCCCTTTTTCCCGAGAAAAATACATAAAAGTCTACTTTCTTTAGATATAAATATATACTTTACTACGAACAACATTTTTTTAATGATTTTGTCTATTACGTGCATAATTTTAACGGACAAACATATCATTCCAATGATCTGATTTCAATATTTTTTAAACATATAAATATAATCATAATAATGATATTTTAAATAAATAAAAAAAAGAGGCAACAAATCTAATATTTAAATTCTGCAAATAAGTTATACAGAAATCTGTAGCAATTTTTGTTTACTTATTTACTTTTTGTTTAACTTTATTTTCAGTTCCTATAAACATTGTTAGATTATTTTTGTATTTTAAAAGAAACTATATTTACATTTATAAATATTATATTATGCATATTTAAATTAAAACCGTAGACTAAATAATAACATTAATTTTGATTGCAGCAGTCCAAAAAAAAACAAAATTAAATATTTTCATACATAACAATAAAAAAAATAAAAAAACAGTAGTTGCTATAAAAGACTATTGGCCATAGGTATTTCTGCCTTTAAATGTAATAATAGTATTAAAAAATCTTTGAAATTGCAAAGTGTTTGCTTTAAGAGCATAAACATGTATCTTACCAGGGGACCTCTGTATAAATGTTCAGCGTGGATGAAGGAATATAAGAGTGTGAGAGAGAACAAAAAAGTTCGGAGGGTTGGCCAAATCTCGCGGGATAGACTTGACAGCGGTTATCCATCGTACCGGAGAATGTATTTCTGTTAAATAATCCAAAACCATTAGTGGCAAAGCGGGAAAGGACCACGATGGTCCCCCAAGTATTGCACATTCGCATATGGCGGAGGTTCAGCCAACTTTAGCAGCGATCCTCTGAGATTCGCCCATCACTGCCACGCACTGCTCACCGAATTGATCGGCTCACTTAACCTCGAGGTTTCCCCACGCGAAAGGAAAACTCCGGAAAACTTAACCCAGATGCGTTACCCTTCGATTCCATACATAAAAATTTAGCAGTCTAACGTATTTAAATTGCACTTTCAATTGTTGAATTTCTTATGTAAGCCATTAGCCTCTTATCAGTACCAAACTATATGCGAATATGAGATTCCAGATGTACCGCAGAAGATCTTAAAATATTTGACCATTCTGAATCAGAAATTAGTTTTAAAAATATATGTTTTTGGTAAATCTGAGATTCACAAGTTTTTGTATTCTATAACTTCTGTCATAGATAAAATACAAATTTGTGTTTCCAAACCATGTCTTTCATTATTTTAATGATTCTGAAAAGTTTTGTCTTTCATGAGTAATCTTAGTTTTACTGAAATGGATATAAACAAGTCTTGTCTATCAGTGCCTAAGACACACAAGATTTTTTGGGTCCCATGATACAACATCAACAATCAAGTTCCGCTAACATTTTGTATCCATGAAAAATATTTAAATGTTCTCAACTTCCTTCCTCTCCCCGTGATCGTGATCTATTTCATTTAGGTACCAGACGCTCATGACATTCTTTATACAGCCCCTGTTTTTATCATTAAATACTATAATTAACAGTAATTAAATATATTTTCTCTATGTTTGGTCGAGGTCTTTCCATTTATTGACCGCTGTCTTTCGGTCGTATTGTAACGATTAAAGGCTAACTTTAGTTATAAAACAGTTATTTTAGCACAATAAAATAAATATTGATTATAGTTATGAAGTATGTTGAGTACCATTAGAAAAAAGAAGAGAATAAGGATTCAAAGGAAAAAGGTCGTTGCGTTAAAGCCTATTGGGTCGTGGAGTGTGGTCGTGGGAGGGAGGCATTCTGCTCCCGGATTACGAGTTTTACGAGTTTCGATTACCTTTACGACGCGCAATCTCGGGGGCGGCTGCGATGGCGACGGCAACTTCCGCCCATAAAATATATTTTATTTTAGGAATTTCATTTATTTATTTCCTCACTCCCTTTACAGGTTTGGTTTCAAAACCGCAGGGCGAAATGGAAGAAGAGGAAGAAGACCACAAACGTCTTCAGGACACCAGGAGCACTGCTGCCCTCTCACGGATTGCCGCCTTTCGGTGCAATGGGTGACGGTATATGCGGCACAAGCATGTTCAGCAGTACGGAATCGCGATGGGGTGTCGCAGGCATGGCCACAGGTAACGACGCATAAACTTTACATGATACTAATTAATGTTATTTACATTTCGTTTGTCGCATTAAAGTTACACATACAATTGGCCCTTGAAAAAAATCACAGATTGTCAGCATCGTCAGAACTATGATTAAAAAAATAATGATTCAGGGAAAGTAGAAGAAAATAATATTGGAAAATTAGTTGAAAACACGCGAAATGGGTTTTATGTCACAATGTAGTTCATAAATAATTCAGCAATGTTATTTAGTTATCAAATAGGTGTAGGAAATGCCGGGGTGAGAGCTTTTGGTAGGAGGAACATCTGCTGGAGAAGTTTGCAAACTGTAATGAATAAATAATAAAATGTTGTATTATAAAGGGCCGCAAATAATTTAAACTCAACTTTGAATAGACCCCAGTCCAATTTAATCAAAACTTAATCGAACGAAATAACATTGAAATCAAACATGAAATACCCAATATGAAAGACAAATATCATACAATATTTACTTTTGTGTTTATTTAGGTTTAGGTCAGCTAGGACAAAGCGGTGTATCGATGAGCGGTTTCGGTCAATCTTTGGGTCAACTTAATCAGAGCTCCGGGTTAAGTCCTGCCCTGCCCATAAGCACGGCCGCTGCCAGTACTATCTACCAAGCACACTACGGACTTAATTCACTAGGTAAGTCATACAACCGCCAATACGTGCCTGTAATACTGCATCCTTACTGTATCTGATATAATAGATAAATGTCTGACCAATTATATACTTTTACTATCATCAGTAACAGCTACAACTTAAATCTTTCTAAAACTCATTTATTCAAATACTTCAATTATTTTCGTATTATGGGTGGTAGCGACCCTCGTTTTTTTTTGTATTATTTATGTATTTGTTGGGTGCTGTCTTTCCATTTTCGTCTCGATAAGTAAAGTTAAACAGTGTCATTTTCGGAGTTTACTTTTGGCACCTCCGGGTCGAAAGTAACAAGTCGGTGCGGGATTCCAGTGGCGCGACCAGTCGGGGGGATAGCGGGAAGATGGTAGAAGGAACCTCGGCACACATGTAATTAGCAGTAATTAGTGGTGGTTCTAGTCGCGACTCATATCGTCGCATGCTACCTATAGTCGCTACCGAAATACGCGTCAACGCCAGTTCTAATTGCAAACATAAATACATGAACGACCATACATGTGTGTGTGTGTGAGTGAGTGAAAGAGAAATACAAAAGTCAACCATTAACTTTGTATATCTCATATCTAGAAATAAGAGACATTTGTAAAGACAGAAGCAGATCAAGTGTTATAGGCATCTCTTCACATCTCTCATCGAACGAAAAAGAATGGGAGAGACGGGTTTTCTTGTAGTATTTATTGGCGATACTCCTGTAACGAGCCACGCTAATTGCGAGAGCAAACAGATAATGTAATGTAGTCTATCCACTTTTATTGCACACTCTGTGAAATATGTGTGTTTAATTTGCAATTCCAATTTAAACTGCATGCATCTATTTGAACAAATGTTGTGTTTGTTTGTGAATTGTCTTTTCCCATATCATTATCACAACAATTCAATAAAATAATGCACATCTAATTTTTATTTAAAAAAAAGTAGTGCACACTAAATGTATTATGTTTAATCTTTATTTGGTATATTAATGCGCACTATCAATGATTCGAACAATTTGATCAAATGCAAGAATATTTAAATAATTACGTTCCCAAGTTACACAAGTTACCAACAACAATCAAATAATATAGAAATGCAACTAGATTGAAAATTAATTATTATTATAATTTACATGTGTACTTATTATTTTTATTTACTTGAAAACAAATGGAGATAAATAAACTTATACCCATTTATTATGCAGTTCGCCACAGAAGGAACGATACATATTCCATTACTTAAAATGTTGTTTTGGCCAGTTAACTTTTATTATTTAAATCCACTGAATATTTTAGTATCAAAAACAAAATAATGCGAGAGGACTCTCGGATGCGACCGACTGAAACTGTTTAATGTTATTCCATTTCGTGTGTGCTCGTTACATAGTCATTCCCAAAATCAATTTACATATGGGCCTCACCCAAAACAGGCAACAAGAAAAAGAAAAGGAAACGATGAAAACGAAAAATATACGAAAGAAAAAAAGCCAAACGATCCGAAAGGAAAGAGTGAACAAACATTTTTCAGTTGTTTCAGGTAGGACGTGTGAAAAATGTTATAAAAGTGTTTATATACGCGTTTTCTTCATTTTTATAGCGCCCTCCTGCCGCAAACAGGATCATCCTTTTATCGTCGGAATTAAATTCCTAATTGACATAATAAAATAATTACGCAATGACTTTCTACTAGTACTATAACAGAAATGTAAAAACAGCGTTTAATCGTTTTGTTTCTTTCCTCCGGTCGAAGAAGTTCCGAGAAAGGCGCGAGGTTTTGTTTGATTGGCCGCCGATGTGTCAACATAACTGGAATAATAACAAATCTTGCTTAATAACAATAATAATATGTGTAACGTTCTAACATATGGGTGCTAATTGGCATGGGGCTTTGAGATAATGGAAATCCTTCTCTGTTCGTTTTCCCCTTAACTCGCCTCACGCTGTTCTGTTTGTTCACTGAATTATACCCTCACGAAATCTTATAAAAAAAATCACATTTTCTCCTCGACAAAATTATAACAAAAGACAAATATAACGTACATGGATTTATAGAATTATCACAGCCCGTACTTCCGGACATTAATTTCTCGCAAATTTCTTTCAATATTATTATATCATTTGTGCATTGGTGCCATAAATAAATCGTTAGCACTTGATCATTATTACATATACATTATTTTATTTGTTTAAACATCTTTATTGGCCCCAATGTATACTAAGCTGATGAACACAGAAAATCAACGTTTAAGTCACAATATCTCTCAAACAGATTTAATATCAACTAAATAAAACAGATAGTTTGTAAACCAATTGTGAAGGTTGATTGCTGGATCAATTGTTCAATCATTGTATTATGTTTTTTCTGAACTAAGCTATCAATAGTAATAATTAAAGAATATTTTCATAATTTATAAATACTTTGTTGTTTTAAGCAGAAAAACTTTGGTCGATAGCCATTTAACTCACATTAGTACTTATTTTAGTACTAACATTTAATCGAATTATTGGTAACATTGAAAGTTGATATATATTCAGTGGAACCTCGCTTAACGAGCAAAATGAATTGTAGTGACGATGAGAAGAGAAGTCTCGAATTGCGCGCCTACTAGATCATTTTTAAAAATTGCAAACAAACAATTTTTTCTAATTGCAAACATAAATACATGAACGTCCATACATATGTGTGTGAGTGAGTGAAAGAGAAATACAAAAGTCAACCATTATCTTTGCATGTCCCATATCTAGAAATAAGAGACATTTGTAAAGACAGAAGCAGATCAAGTGTTATAGGCATAGAAATACTTTGGTCGATAGCCGTTTAACTCACATTAGTACTTATTTTGGTACTAACATTTAATCGAATTATTGATAACATTGAAAGTTAATATAGAAGAGAAGTCTATTATCCATCTTCGATTTTCTTTGTCATCTTTGTTTAAAGCGGACTATACTTTGCAAATATAATTTGTGTTTGCTGTAAATGCAAAACACCATTATTATTATTATATATAAATACACTATGTACGCTTTTTATATAAACAAATATTAAAAGTATAAAGAGACCTCCGCCAAGTCCCCGAATTGATACAAGTAATATAAACTCACTTCACCGTGTGCGAATTGGAAAACAGTTCCTAGTGTTAGTGGTCATTCTAGTTGCATCTTAGTGTTGTTTGTATTCACAAAATTTCCAAACTTGTGTTCAGACATGTTATTTTTGTTTTTTTTTTGTGCAAAATTTAATAACACTTGCATGTCTCCGAATATAATGCAGTGTATTAGATGAAATGTTATTTAAATTATGGCATTAATCTAAATACGAAGATTCTATTCTCTTCATTTTCAATGTTCAAAATTAATTATATTTTGTTAATGGCACTTCCATTTTCTCTTCTTGTTTCAGGTGACAGTATGATGACATACTGTAACAATAGCAGTAATGCAGGTGGCGGCGGTGGTGGTAGCGGCGGAGGGGGCGGTGCGGGCAGCTCTCCACCCCCACAGATCGCGTGCTCCAGCGCAGCGACGCCACCGGTGACGGCCGGTGGTTCCCCCAACGACCAAGAAGACGATGTCTGGCGGGGCCAAAGCATAGCGGCGCTCAGAAGGGCATCTGCCTCTTATTTACAAATCAACTATGATACGCACAACAACGCATCTGTCTACTAAGCGCAAAGCGAATTGAATGAACTGCAAAACACGATCAATGGAGAAACAAGCTGAGAAAGAGAGGCAAATACGTACTAAAAGAACGCCAACATCTTTTCAAAAGAAATCCCGCCTACATTCCATGTATAAAATTAATTTAAGATTATTATGTTTTCTTATTTATTTGTCAATAGGTGAATGTTAAAGGAACCGAGCTGCAAGAGCAATGAGTAAAAGACAGCAAAGAAAAAAAAAGTAATGTTTTCCATTTAAAAATGTCGTTTCGTAATTGGAGAAAGGGTAGTATACAAACAGAAATAAGAATAAAAGTAAAGTTAAACGTACATACATATATAAATAAGAGACACCTTTTCTAACCCAGATGAAACTTAGAGAAAAGGTGCTGTAAGTGTGAATAATAAGTTTCCTGTATTTAATTAATCTTTAAGAATAAACGTTAATTGAATAAAATATATTATATATAAAATATAAAAATATATATATTTAAAAATAAAATGAGAATCCCGTGGCGTCTGTATACGATGTAAAATAATTTATTGTACAAAGGACACAAAAAGTAACTCATTGATTGTAATAAGTGTAAACAAAATATGGATCGTAAATAATTGTAATTTTAGTGTGATGTGTTAAATAAGATTAAAAAAATACATTGTATTAGTAGTAAATATTAGTTGAGATAAAAAAAAGAATATCCTAGGTCCTAGGAATTACTTGTAACACAAACATTGAAACAGAGAATATCCATTAAAACAATCGATAGAGGAAGACGCGCACAGTATACGTTCTTCTTTTATTTTAACACGTTTCTACGTTCCAAGAAGAAGCAAAATTCACGTATACGAGATGAGAACCCTTGACTAAGTTTTCAGAAAATATGAATGCGATTTTTTTATATATATTATAAAAATATTTAACGAAAAAAGTTCCGTTGCATATTGTAAATCATTGTATGTATTATGATTAAAGGAAACGATCTATTCGTCATTTGTTTGTATTTTACTCCTCTTTGAAACCAATTTCAATTTTGAATGTAGTTATAGAACGACGCCATCTACATATCGATAGATTATACCGCATTGCCTGTAGCACAAAATCCTCTGCGAAGATGGTGAGTTTGAAACTCTGACCAAAAATACAGTCACACTGTTTTGTCGTAATAAACAAAAAATATAATTGGAGTATTAATGTTGCACAGATACTTCCTGACAACAACTATTGTGGCAGATAAATTACGAACAATTTGACTATAAGAGGAGCGGTTTGACTATAGTGGCCTTATTGTCGGGGCCTTGCCCACTCATAATACAATTGTATATTTCGTCACCTTCGCGCATATTACCCTCTGTGACCCTAGTGTGCTAGTGTCAAATTGAGACAATCATGAAAAAACAAAATACCAATACAAAAATCACAAAACGACTGTTATAAATTATATAATTTCATGAATAAATAAGTAAGTATCTGTTAGTCTATATCAGGGGTGGTCAAACTGTGTCTCGCGAGAAGCATGCGACTCTTCAAGAGTTTTGTTGTGGCTAGTTGAACTAACAAAACACAAATATTATATATATTTTATATAATGACTGAGATTTTTTTTTTAAATTATTATACCAAAAAGTTTAGGGAGAGAAATCTGTTGTATAGCCACTGCGGTGGCGTTCCTTAGTACATGAGAGCACATAACGCGGCGCCACAAGTACCAGCAAATA